ACACACACACACACACACACACACACACACTCCAGTGCACGATTTTTGTGCACCGGGCCTCTAGTCTTAAAATAATTGCCTATTTATTAATCTATAAATAGACAATAATGTTGGAATATTCTGTTTGTCTATTAATGGGCCTGCTTCTTAGCAATATTATAAATGTTTTATAAAAGCAGCTCATGATACTCTACTGGTCTTTTTATGCATATGAACAAATAAACTATTTACACTATTAAAAAAAGCATAAAATCATGGAACTTCTGAACACAATCACTTCTCTTTTTCAATTAAAATAAAAGAAAGTAGTCAAGAGGTAAAGGGAAGACAATAATCTAATATGATTATATTATACTGAACTAATTCAATTACCAAATAGCCAAATAAAAAACATTTGATATAATTTATTCTTTTTGTAGTCTTCGTGATTTCAACTTATAGTTTGAATATTTTTGTAGATTGAAGAAAGGATTATGTGGCAACATTTGGGGACCTCTCACTGGCTGGCATGTGCACTGGCTAAGGGACCATGTCCATGTACTCAGCCCTCAGTCGGGAATTTGATTTCTGTCAGCACATCACAAATAGATCAAGAGGCAGGTAATTAATCATTGGCCAAGACAAAGGAGAAAGATGGATAACTAGGGTGCCAATTAATTAACTGATCGAGAGAAGCAGAGATGTGGGATAGGTGTTTCAATAAGCTTGACGTATAGAACAACCCCTGTCTCCCAGGCATGAACTCTGAGGCTTTCATGGTTACAGATCTGCCTCCTCCAAAACGAGCCCGTGCTTGCCTTGAAGATGTTGGTAAGACTATCACAGGCCCACTGGGGAGCCACATTATTGGAAAGCCATCACAATAAGAAGTTTAAATAGAATTTTCATAAAGGGATTTACTTGTGGCTGTGACTCCTGGTGGAGGTAGTGATAGGGCCAGTCACTGGCTTTAAGAAACTTTCAGGCATCAGTTCATATAAACTAACATCAACTAAAAGAAAAGCAATCAAAATCATCTGTCAATCAAAATGAAATTAATTCCAGTTCTCCATCGGTGTTTAATACTGTAGAGAATCTGCAAACCTTTCCGTTTTTGAGGTTAGGACCTTTAAACCTCTCTTACCTGTTGGACTAGAATATCTCCAATTCGGTTAATGACGAAATTCCTGTCATTGTCAGCACAGGATTCCTGCCTCCGCTCCTTCATGCTATAGAAGAAATGCCTATGAATTTCAAGTAACTCATCCAAGCAGGGGAAGATTTTATCCACAGTGCTGTGGTCCAGCTGCAGCTCCTCCTTCATCCCTTTCCTGAAGATCTCAGACATGATGAAGAGGGTCTGGATGTGATGCATTTCCGTTTGCATTAGCTCTGAAACACGCGAGCAGAAACAGGCTTTCAAAACAAGAATCCCTACTGACCCAAATTAGTAGCTAAACACTATACGTCACACAAATTAAAAAGAGGAAATGTTTAAAAATAACCTTCTTCCACTATAAAAGTCAGCATCAATTAAACATTAATGCAAGCTTAAATTAATCAACATTTTCTGTTTTTCCAGATATAAGAAGATAAATTCAAGTCCAATACTTAAGAGTCCAATGTATCTGAAACTCTCATAACATAACCAGCTAGCATCTTTAGGTACCTTTAGCTAGGAACTGGTCTTATTCTTCCCTGAGTCCTCTCTGAAATATAACTTAGTATGTCTCAGTTTTTCTGTTTTGTTTTGTTGTGTGTGTGTGTGTTGTTGTTGTTGTTGTTGTTGTTGTTGTTGTTGTTGTTGTTGTTGTTGTTGTTGTTGTTGTTGTTGTTGTTGTTGTTGTTGTTGTTGTTGTTGTTGTTGTTGTTGTTGTTGTTGTTGTTGTTGTTGTTGTTGTTGTTGTTGTTTTGGGGGGGGAGGATTTTTTTTTTTTGCATTGAGTAGGAGCGCAATTAATTTGGTGAATTAAATTGAATTAAATATAATAAAGTTCCTCAAAGCAGACAACAATAGATCCTTTCTATTACTAGATCAATCTCTAAAATTCCACTTTCTTTAGGGGAAAACAATGTATCATGATCAAGAAACATCATCAAGGAAGTAAAAAGATAACCCATAAAATGGGAGAAAATATTTACAAATCATATACCTGGTAAGGGACTTGTGGCCAGAATATATAAATAACTCTCACAACAACAATAAACACACTTCAAAAATAGGCAAAATATTTAAATAGATATTTCTTCAAACATATACAAGTGGCCAATAATTACATCATTAGCTATCAAGGAAATGCAAATCAAAACCAAAGTGAGATACGACTACACACATACTAGGATAATTGTAATAAAAAAAGATGGACAATAAAGAAGTGTTGGTGAGATGAGGATGTGGCTAAGTAGGAGGGGAAAATGGAGAATGACTACTAATGGGTACAGGCTTTCCTTTTGGAGCAGTGAAAATCCCATGGAATTAGATAGCAGTTGATGGTTGCACAACTTTGTGAATATACTAAAAACCATTAGGTTCACTGTAAAGGGGTGAACTTTATGGTATGTAAATTAAATCTCAACTTTAAGAATGCAACATTAGAGAAAATAATAATTCACAATTTGTAGAAGCACCAGAAGTCCTAGATTCGTTTCTCCAAACTCACATGTTTTAAGAAAGAATCTAAAATGTCAACAATAAAAATAAATAAATTAATTAAATATTAGCCATGGAGGGTAAACAAATCCAAACGTAGCTTTATTATTTTATCATCAACAAAAAATCTCTTTAAGTGGGAACCCACTAACTTTACATTATTTCCTACCATGTTTCAGTGCTAAACACATAACCATATCATTTCATTTAATCCTTTAGTCTATCTATCATGATACCAAAATAGAAACGATTTCCCTCATCTTTAAAAGACAATAAAGAAGAAAGGTGAAGGAATTTTCCCAGAATCCAAGCCTTTCTGACACAAAGGTCATGCTGTGAACTACCCTACATGATAAATTCATCCAAAATGGGTTAGGTTCTTTTTAATAATATATGAAATCAAGAGGAAAGTGAAGAAAAATTACAGTACAATACAAATTGCATGAGAAATACTGGCAGCATCTCCCTTTCCATAGTAACTCCCACCAATGCAGCCCTGGACAGACTTCAAGCACGCTTACATAGCATCTCACCTGGCCTGCATAACCACCCAGGAGAGAAGGGGTCCTCACTTGCCAATGGACTCTTTGGGCCACACTTGCATACAGGCATGCCTTGTTTTATTGTGCTTTGCTTTATTGTGCATTTATTACAGATTGAAGGCAAGATCCTCCACCAGCAAAACAATTATGACTCACTTTATTGCGATATTTGCTTTATTGCGGTGGTCTGGCACTGACCCTGAAATATTTCCGAGGTCTGCCTGTACATGGGATCAGTGAAAACTAAGAGCTAGTCATATCTTTCGAATAGGGTGTCTTCGTGGAACTACTATTTAGCATCTACTTTGTACTTGAAAATTTTTTAAACCTCATTTTTTCCTAACTAGTGCATAAGTGAACTTCCTCTGACTCAGACTGCCTCCACCTCACATAGCATGAAATAGTAAATGTCAGCAGAGTGTAACTACATAGGCAGGACCGCATCACACTGTCACACACTGCCCTAATCCAGGTGCTGCCCCTCCCATTGCGGCTTACCTGATTGGCAACCTCTGGTGCATGAGGGAAAATTACAGTGTCATATATACAATAGCCCTGTCTACCCTACATCAACATATGTGAATTTTTTCCGTGATTCTTATAATAGCAGAGGTAAATGTACATAGGCCATGCTTAAGTAAACTTGAAAAGGGTATGAGAAATACAATCTGCTTTGTATCAGGTACACTCAATGCCTCATTTAATCTTCACAACATTTTAAATCTGAGTATCATTATTCCCATTTTACAGAGGGAGACACTGAGGTCCAGGTGAATTAAACAATTTGTCAGAAATTAAGTAACTAGAAAATGGTAGCATTTGGCCCTAGCTGGTTTGGCTCAGTGGATAGAGCATTGGACTGCGGACTGGAAGGTCCTGGGTTTGATCCTGGTCAAGGGCACATGCTCGGGTTGCAGGCTCAATCCCCAGTAGGGGGCGTGCAGGAGGCAGCTGATCAATGATTCTCTCTCATCATTGATGTTTCTGTCTCTCTCTCCCTCTCCCTTCCTCTCTGAAATCAATAAAAATATATTTAAAAATCTACACTAATAAAAGAGAAACATGGTAATTAGCGTACGACTGCTACCCTTCCCATTGGCTAATCAGCATATCCTTATGCAAATTAACTGTCAGCCAAGATGGCGGCCGGCAGCCAGGCAGCTGGAAGCGAACATGAGGCTTCCTTGCTTCAGTGACTGCAGACTCCAAC